GGCCTGCCCTACACAAATGAAAATACAATTTTAAAAGTGATGGGGTGGGTTGTTGACGAATTAGTTAGAATAGTGTCCTGATTTGTTTTTTAAGGGACCAACAATCTGAGTAAACCAAGAGCTATGGTTGTCCCTGGGTGTTTGAGAGGGACAGGAAATGCACAGAAATTGAACCAATGAATCAATTATAGAATTATATGCAGAGATAGCTGTGAGGGAAGAAGAAGCTGAATTTAAATTATCAGTAAAAGACTTGGTTTCTACTTGATGCCTCCATCCGCCCTAGGTAAGAAGCATTTTCAGTCCTATGTCCCTCGGTGAGGTTACCCCCTTGGCAAGCTGTGTGGAATGGGCAAGACCACAAAACTGAGGAAAGAAAAAGGAGTTCAATTATTTTTGATTTAGAGCAAACATCAATCTTGAAACTAAAAAGGAAGCATACATTAAAACAACAAACATTGGATGTTAAGTTTAGCTCAGCACTCTCTTCACCCTAAGGCAGTGACGGTGAACCTTTTTGGCCCGAGTGCCCAAACTGGGTGGGGGGGGGGACCAGCAGGCAGCAGTAGCGGAAGTAGTGGTGATGGAAGCGGACGTGGTGGCAGAAGGGGGAGGTGCCTGCAGACCCCACTCTGGATCCATCTCCAGCACCAGATGCTCCAGATCCTGGCCCGCCGCCTGTCAGGGCGCTAGCACCATGGCTGCAGCTGCCTCCTCAGGTCCCGGCTCTTCCTTGGGATGGAGCAAAGAGCCCATAAGGAAGCCCCAACAAATCTCAAATATTAAATCCAGCATTTGTGATGTTAAATGCTTTAAAAGATGCCCTGTGATTACAAGTCAAGGAAAGGGAATAAAAAGTAGGCATGGGTCTTATGCGTTTGCATGAAAGAAAATACAAAAGAGGTTCTCTTTCAATTTTGTCTTCTTTCATCTGTTACATAAACAAAACCCCATAAACATAAATGGTTTGCATTAATCAAAGGGGGTACATAAATGTTTTGTGCTTTGTTCACATTGCCTGCGTTCATTTAACCTTTCTTTCACCCTCTGTCTATCAAATTGCCTAGGAAATCTTCGTCCAATTACATTGTGAGGGTTGCTGTCAGAAACCAATCAGAAAATCCAGGAGGGAGGGAACCAGAATGTAGTGACTGTAAGAGGGCCTGAATTAGTTGGAAACCAGTGATGAGTGTGCCTCCTTTGCTTTAGTCATTTCCTTTGGGTGTGCAAGCTGCTGGTGCCCTCCATGTTGGATTATTGCCTGCCTGCCTGCCCGTTACTGTGCCTTTATCTGAGATTCAATCCTTTGGCATTTTTTTCTTGATTTTTTGGTAGCAATTTTCATTTCTTTTCATTAGTCTTGCTTCTGCTGCCAGGCAGCCTATCTGAGCAAATGTGCTTCCTGGGATTGTTTTTTGAATTATTTTTCCCCTTCATTTCTTTAGGGATTTTCTCCCTCTTTGGACATTTCCTTTCTTAGATTATTTTTTCTGCCTGCCTGGTCTGCCTGCTACTTCCTGCTGGACTGAGAAGAGAAGAAAAGGCAACAAATCAAGTAACAGAGCAGAGGGAAATCTCCCCATATTGTAGCAATTTTTTGTGAGGTTTGACTGTATTTTTTGCCTTTATTTGCTGTTTGGATCAGAGTCTGCAAAAGTTCACGCTAAACAAGTTGTGGAAGACTAATGCATGTCCCTGCCATTTATTATGTATAAATTTGAATACAAACTAATCTGATCAACAATTCTCAGGCTACTGTATGGATTTAAACTGAGTTATTGCTCAATTTCGACCATTCCTAAATGTCTTCAATTTTAAATAATTTTTAAAAAGTGATCACAGAGATTTGCCTGATGGAGAACAGAGTGCAATCAATAGGCAGTGTTAAATAGTGAAACAAATCATACATGATTAACTCCCTACAAACCTACAATGGCTGAAATCCAATAGTTAATCACAACTAGAGTTAGGCCCATTTTATTTATTTATTTATTTATTAAATTTATACCCCGCCCCCCTAGACCATGTCTACATGGTCTGTGAGTCAGTTCTTCCATACATTCCATTGAGTCAATGGGCCTCCTCTAGTTGTAACGGACTACTGGATTTCACCCTATTTGCGTATGTGGAAAGAGGCATTGGATTGTTTCTTCACAACAGGTGTCAATGCTCAGACTTTGGAATTCCCACCTGAGGAACACAGAGGAAGATCCAGTGAGCTACTGTGCAAGTAATGGCAGTGTTGTATAAATGCACTTCTTTGTTCTGCTGCTGATAGTGCAATCTTTACCGTATATTTTTGCACTCCAGAGTATGGAGCCAAGGACAAGGTACGAGAGTGCAAAGTGATTTTATTTGTTTTCCTGCTGCTGACAGTATTGATTATTTTTAAGGTTTATTGTAGGCCATCTGAGAGCACTCAGTGGTCAGAAGAGGCAAAGATAAAATTATGTCTAAAGCAAGCAAACAAACTCACTGGTAAATAGAAGTATTCTCAGAAAATGTGGAAGTATTCTGACTCCCTGTTGCTGAGCTGGCTGGATAGCGCAGCAGTTTAGATATCCGGCTGTGGAGCCAGACGTTGGAAGATTGATTTTCCACTGTGCCTCCTGTGAGTAGAGCTAGCCTGTGTGCCCTTGGGCAAACTGCACAGTCCAAGGGCATCCTAGAAGGGAATGGGAAACCACTTTTGTGCGTTCTCTTCATAGAAAACCCAGGAAAGGGTTGCCTTAAGTTAGAATTGACTTGACGGCACATGATGAAGATGATGTTCAGAAAAATATTTTGCGCAACCAATCCTTACCATATCCCTACTAAATCTTTTCATGAAAGCCTGCATTGATTGGCTTCTCCAGTCTAAAATAGTTTGCGTGTTAACCTTTGTCATTACAGGAGATTAATCCAAGTCACTAAGCAGCCACATGTCAAGAGTCCTAATATGTTATAGGTTTACAACATGCATGTATTAAAAGACTGGAAAGGGTTAACACCCAAAGAGAAGTTGTTTGTGAGGTCAGTGATGATACTACTGATGACTCAAAGGTATGAGCCAATCAAGCAGATGAGCGATTTATAAATATCCAGCAAGAGCCTCCTTTACTCTCTCTCCTGGATGCTTCCTATCCAGATGGTCATTAGGAAGAGCGGGTGCCAGGACAATGGGAGGGGAGAGACAAGATGTTCGGAGTGGAATCATGGCTGGAATGAGTCAGGTCTGCCAGGGATTATGCTTTGGCGGGGGGGGGGGCTGTGCCAGAAATGCCTATAAGTATTTATTTGTTCTTTTACCATTTTTGTAATTTCAAAACTGTGCCCAGTAACCTATCTGTGATTTTTCTTCCTTGCATCAACTTGTCGAATGTGTTACACTCTTTTTCCTTTCAGATGTAATAAAGTTTAGATTTGTTTTAGCAGTCATCCCAACCAGTTAATGCCTGCTGCTTGGGTCACATGGAAGGATCCCTTTAGAGGGGGAAAAAGAAGTCCTAGGCTTCTACTATTTTTGACTTTCCTATTTCCCAAATCTAGAAAAGGAAACAGCGCCTCAATAAAGCTCTCCCATCTGTGGAGGAATGGGAAGAAATTTAAGCCAGTCTTTAAAGTTCTTCACCCAATCAGTTCTTCCTACACTACTTTTGACTGGAAAGATCAGCTGTCACAATCTTGTATTTTCATTGCATGAACCAACTTCCAGCTTTCTTCATTTTACGTGTTATATTATTTCATTAGCCTTCATACTTCCTCATAAACACATGCACTGGATGGGAATCTGAACGTTGGTTTCAAAACCATTGCTTCTCATCCTGTGCTTGGTGGAAAATACAACTCCATCATTTCCCTTTTCCTGCTTTTAAACTTCTGAAAAATGTGGAAAAGCTGCTCTTCATATTTCTTCTTGTAGCCCCAAGAGGAAACCTATACCACTTTATAAGTGATTCTCATTGAGTTCAGTGAGGCATACTAGCAGAGCAGGTTGACTATAGAATTGTACAGTTCATGTTGTTCTTTCTAGTTCATCATGTGCTGTCAAGTCAGGACTGACTCTTAGGGGCCCTAACAGGGCTTTCAAGGAAAGATATTTAACAAATGCTTTTACCAGTTTCACTCTCCTAGTGAGCTTCCATGGCCCAGGGAGGACTTGAATCCTGGTCTCCAGAGTCCTAGTCGATTGCTCTGTCCAATACACCAAACGGGGTACCATCTTTCTAGAAAACTATAAGACTAACTTCTTGACTTTTAATATGTTAACGGAGTACCATCTTTCTAGAAAAGTACAACTGTAAGACTAACTTCTTGACTTTTAATATGTTCAGGGTTCTTTTCTGGATTATTTCAAATTTACCAACACATGTCACAAATTGTGTAGGTACCTGGCTACTGCAGACTGCATTATTCTAATTAATCTAATTGTTATTGTTTTTAATGAGAGCACTACTCATCAATCAGTTGACATTAGCTTCAACAACACCATCAGAAAATGAAGCAGCGGACTATACGTTCTGTCTCTCAGTTATGCCATATAAGCCTTAGTTTCCTCGTCCAGTGACTTTGCACTATCCCATTTTTCATGCTTCTCTTTTCTTGCAGAAGAAGCCGAATTTTTTCATCATTCTCTGATAGCTGAGAGCTAACTCAAGACCCTCTCTCTATTTCTTTAAATGAAGTCTATTGGATTGTATTTTCACTGTGGCTGAGGTAAGCTTGACTATGTAACCATGTGTCAGCTTTAGGGTTTGGGTTTTTATAATGGATCTGTTTGATGGGCATGGACTTTCAGTACTAAGGAGTAATATTTTCTTTAAAAAAACATTTCAGAAAGAGAATTGAAAGGCTGAGTCAAATCTCTGAAGTCAAGATCACTCTTCCAAGGCTTACGGTATTTTCAAGCACATCTCTTTGAAAGGGCTTTGTCTTCACCTTATCAAAAATAGCTTTTATAAAAAAAACTGTTTTGGAATATTTTGCTCTGTTATGACTAGTGATGGGCATGAACCTAAAAAAAAAATTGTCGTTCATGATGGTTCATGGTTAGTCAGAAACAATAAACCATGACCAACTATGAACTAACCAGAAAACTGAACTGGTTCACAATTTGGCATTCGGTTTGTGCCCGGTGAGGAGGGCTTACATGTTCCTGCCACACCGTTGCTTTCATGCCATCATTGTCTCCTCCTCCCCAGGAGTGACCTTGCAAGGAAATCTGGGTGCTGCATCTGACCATGCACCCGCCTCCCAGCTGATTGCCCTGATCAGCTGGGAGGTGGTTGTGTGTGCTCAGAGACAGTAATCAGCTTCCCATGATGGAGCCCAGTCATCCCCTCAGAGCATACCATCTGAGCACCTGGGGAGGAGGCAGTGGCAGCACAGCAGTGGTGTGGTGGCAGAAGCAGATAAGCCAGGAGATCAGGGCAGTGGGAACAGGGCAGGCAGTCCATCCCCATTTCCCAAAGCAAACAAAGCACCAAGAGGAAAAAAGTTCACAGTTTTGTTTTACTTTGGCAAAACGGGATCCCCAAACCAAGTCACTAACCGAACCAAAAATAAAAATATTAAAACCAATAGTAATAAACCTTTAAAAAAAAAACAAATGGCACCAACTAATCCAAGAGTGGATGGAGGAAAAGAGGAGGAGGAAGAAGAGGAAGGGAAAGAAAAAAACGGGGGGGGGGAGGGGGTCAGCTGGGGTTGGTGTGGAAAGCCTCCCTGAAAAGCAATGTCTTTATTTGCTTCCTAAATATCCACAAGGAGGGGGCTAGGCAGAGCTCCTCCAGGAGCTGGTTCCATAAAGTTGGAGCCACCGCAAAGAAGGCCCTACCTCTTGTAGAGGATTTATGGGTCTCCCTCTGGGTGGCCACCCAAAGGAGCCTCGACTGGGATGATCTTCTGGATTGGGAAGATGACATTAAGGAGAGATGCTCCAACAAGTACCATGGGCCCAAACCATGAAGGGCTTTGTATGTGAGTGTCAAAACCTTGAACCTGATCTGGGACGCCACAGGCAACCAGTGGAGGCGAGCCAGAACTGGAGTGATGTGGTCAAATTTACTTGCACCAACCACTAGTCTGGTTGCTACATTCTGGACCTGCTGAAGTCTCCGGATCAGGTTCAAGGGGAGCCCCATGTAGACAGTGTTGCAATAGTCGATCTAGGAGATGGCCAGGGCCTACACCAAAGTCCTGAGGGAGCCATTCTCTAGGTAGGGGCGAAGTTGGGTGGTTCGCCTAAGCTGGTTAACTCTAGGTAGGGGTGAAGTTGGGTGGTTCGCCTAAGCTGGTTAAAGGCTGATCTGGACACAGCTGCATTCTGGGACTCCCAAGGAACAGCCGGGTCCAGAAGAATGCCCAAAGTATGAACTTCATCCCTAAACTGCAGAGGAATACTATCCAACCTAGGGGCCATCCCTACTAAACTGTCAGCGGTCCCTCCCCCAGGAGTAAAATCTCTGTTTCGTCCGGGTTCATTTTGAGCCTGTTAGCCCTGGTCCATTCCAGTACGGCAACCAGGCAACGCTCCAGTGTCTGGAAGGAATCCACTGCAGAGGTGGTAACAGAGAGATAGAGTTCTGTGTCATCAGCATTCTGATGACACCTTACTCCAAAACTCTTGATGACCTCCCCCAATGGCTTAACATGGATAATAAACAGTATTGGGGGCAGTGCTAATCCCTGAGGAACCCCACACCGAAGGGTCCACAGTGCTAATCCCCGAGGAACCCCACACCGAAGGGTCCAAGGTGCCAACATCTCCTCCGCTAGCTGAACTCTCTGGACATGGTTCTTGAGGAAGGATCGGAGCCAGCTCAGTGCTAAGGCCTCAGTCCCAACCTCAGAGAGCCTGTCCAGGAGGATACCGTGGTCGATGGTATCAAAAGCTGCTGAGAGATCTAGGAGTACCAACAGGGTGCATCTGCCCCTGTCAGCCTCCCTTAAAAGGTCATCCCACAGTCTGATCAATGTCATCTCAGTACACCAGCATGGCCTGAATCCAGACTGGAATAGGTTGAGACAATTCTGCTCCTCCCAGTATGACTGCAGCTCATTTGCCACCATGTTATGCATTTTAGTCTTGGCTCTAGTATACAGCACTTCTTGTAATGACTCAAGTGAATTCTCTGTCATATTTCATAGGAAACAAGAGCTGCTGAGAAGCACCCCTCTGGCATATGGAGAACATAACAACTGTACAACTTGATATGTACCTGTCATGATCCCCACGTGGGCCCTGCTTGTTTCACCAAACTAGGAGCTCACGCTACATACCCATCAGCTGCCACCAGTTGATTACATCAACATTTCCTGTTATTAATAATCAAGGTCCAGGCCATATGTCACTTTAAAAGAACCAAATAGAAATTGTTTATTGTTACAGATACTTCAAGCAATGTTGTTAACTCTTAACAGACATCCTCCTTCATCCACTCTCAACCACTACTTTCCCGCTGAAATTCCTAAACTCCCTACCTCCCTACCTCTATATCTCTCACTCCTGCCTAACTGAAACTCTCCCTCCTCCTGCTGAGTCTCTTATAACTCGTGATTCCGCCCCTCCAGCACTCCCATTGGTCTATTCAGATAGCATATGAATATTCATGACCTGGGCGGATGCCACAGTACCATTTTTACATTCCCATTTTCTCCAGTAAGTTCAACATACCTGTGCAGGATTGTGGCTTCTCTCACACCTTATTCCATTCTCTGTGTGACTGGGAACCCTATACGAGTGGTGTTCTTGAGTACATGGAGCACTGTAACAACAGCCATGATTTCTCTTCAGACCTTCCCTGTCAACAGAGAGAGGTCAGAGGTGAGGAACAGTGTGGGGGACCAGAGTGGAATGAAGATCTCACAGTGGCTATTTCTAAAGGATCGTGGAAACATTATGTGTGAGTACTTTGGTCCCTCATCCCAATCCCTGGATCTGGAAGGGATCAGAAAACAAAGCCTGGCTCCAAGATGATATACTTGTGATGGTGGGGAGGCATTTCTTTGGTTGGAAACATGATAAAATCTTAGCCATGAGTGTTCCTCTCTTGAGATTATCAGTCCATCAGATTGCTGCAGACGGTAGACTTTGACCCAATCTCATTTCATCCCCCAGCTACAACAGATTAAAGAAAAACGAGGAAAACAAGAAACCTTATCACTGGGACCAGAATCCAGTTGGAATCATGGAGGGTAAACCCACGTTCATACAAATGCTATGTGTGAACTTACCACCTGTCCACTATGAGATGAGCTATGCCTAGGTGGCATTAGCAGTCACGCGTTCAGGCATGTATCCAGGTACATAATAGGTTGCTGGCAAAAGGTGAAAACCACTCATCAAATTGCTCTCACTTGAACAGTATTTCACAATACGATTTTGGTTTTGGTTTTTCAGACAGTTTGCCTGCGATTAGGAAAAAAGAAACCTGGCAGCCTCAGTCGCACCTCTGTTAAAGACAACAAACATATATGGGCCATGCGCATTATAAAAAGGCAGAAGGGCAGGTGCAAGATGGCACAGCTGTTTCCCTGAAACCCTTGAGGAATCCTTGTAAATGGACATTGCCAGTTTTCACTTGCTCCAGCAAATCCAAGAGTTAACAGATGCTGCTGCTTCAGTCCCTCTGCCAGCATCACAAGCATGTGGCTTGTTGGGGAAGGATGTTAGGTACAGATGGTTAAAGAATAGGATTATGATAAATTTCAATATGAACAAACGTGATACAAACCTCCTAGAGTAATGAGTGGATTAGAATTTAGTTGTCAACCAGCAGCGTTTGGAAAGGTTTTTTTTTTTTAATACCTTTCAGTTCACAGAATCTCCTAGTTAACATGATACTGGTTATCCTGATTTTGGGACCTGTTGTCCAAAAAAGTAAAATTCCATGTTCTGTCCAGTGGCTCTTGTATTCTCTAAATTAGGCATCTGGTTGCCAATCCAGAGGTTGGTAATTCAGTTCCCCAGTGTGTGTCCGGGGAAAAGAGCCAGTCTGTGTAACCTTGGGCAAACTGCACAGGCCCAGGTTGTCCCCAGAAGAAGGGAATGGTAAACCACTCTGAGTACTCTCTACCTAGAAAAATTTGGAAAGGGTCATCACAAATCAGTGTCAACCTGACAGCACATAAATTGCTATTACTAAATATGCCCACATAGTTCTCAGGTCCAACAGGAAATAAAGTGCATAAAGTAAGAGAATATAGAATTTTTGCAAGATTATGCATTTAATAAGATTTCTATGAGAAAAAAATTATTTTCAAAATATATACATTTCTATGCATTTTTAAATAACATGGATATTAAGGTACAGAAGGGATCTCTCTTTTGTAAGTCGTCTCTCTTGTGTAAGGCTTGTATTCCATATATAATATCTTTGAAATGTATATGCACATTTGAGGTAATATTTAGAAATCCAGCACACAGCAAGAGCTATAAGTCTTAAAAGTATGCTTTTCTTCACATGACTTAAAAGGATTAATAGATTTCTGCAATGAAAGAGGGTCTATGAAAGTCCTGTCGGGTTGCTGGAAGCTCAGATCTTATACTCAGCAAGAGAAATGAGGGGGATAACTGGTGGTCCCTGAAAGATTATGGTGATGAACCAGGAAGTCTAAGGGCACCTGACTAGTCAAGGAACCGTGTCTGCCCCGTCCTATACCTCAAGATGAAACTTGGTAAATATGGAAGCATAGTGAATATAGCAAAAGCTCCTGTCAAGTCCTGCAAACCCCAGAGTCAAGTGGATGACAGAAGATGTCATTACTCCTGCTAATAAAAAAAAGTCATGATTTTGTGCCTGTAAGCCCTGGCTTCACTACATTATTCATTTACAACATTCATTTCCTGCACTTGCTCTGCATTATTTCATCCCTACCTGGGCGAAACCGCCTTCTTTTAAGTTATTCTACAGAAGACTGTCAATTGTCTACAGATGACCAGGCAGCCCCAATTCCATTTACACTAAGGATATGCAAAAAAATATAGAACCATGGAATAATGGAGTTGGAAGGGACCTAAAAGGTCACTGAGTCCAACCCCTGCTGAATGCTGGAATCCTAATCAAAGCAGATCTGACAGATGGTTGTCCAATTTTCTCTTGAATGCCTCCAGTGTAGACAATGGCCATCTTCCCCATAAAAAAATAGCAACTACATGCTGTCAAATCAATTCTGGCTTTAAGAGATCCTTTTTCAGGGTTTTCAGATATGGAATACACAGAAGAGTTTATCTTTTTCCTTCTTCTGGGAGACTATAGGATTGTACAGTTTATTCAAGACCACACAGGCTGGCCCCTCTGGGATGCGCGGTGGAGAATCAGAATCTCATCCTCTGGTTCCACAGCCAGATACCAAACTCATTGAACTACGAAGTGCAGGTCTGCCTTTTTGGGAGATTTTAGTGCTCCAAGACCCTTGTTTTCTCAGTGACAAAGTAAAATTCTGCCAACATGAAGCCTCTTAAAGAAAGACTTGTTAGAAGGAATAATTATACACAACAGAGATCAAAACCCTCAGCAACGACTTCTGGCTTGACACTGCGATGGGACAGCAGCAAGAGGACAGAGCTCTGTCCCCCGGGCTGGTTTCTGAGCTGTTTGGGACCCCTCCCATGGGGTTAAAACCACCCTGAAGAGGTAGTGAATTGGGGGGGAAGCCTGTTGATCATAGGGGTGATGGTGGTTATCCTCATTTTGATCCAGGAAACTCCCCAATCAACCAGCGGGTGGAAACAAGCACTGGAAAGCTCATTGTGAGTCATCAGCAGCTGGCAATAGATAAGCGATAAATCAGCTAATTAACATTGATGCTATCATTGGGTGAGATATATTGCTACAACTATATTGCTTTATGACAATCCCTGAATGAGACAATCCCTATATACAGAAAGCAGCGTCTCCTATCCTCCTTACTTATTGAGCAGCGGTGAATCTGGAGAGAGGGAAGTCGATGCAAAGAGAATACTGTAATTTTGAAAAGATTAATGGGATACCAATTAGACATTTAAATATACTTTAAATATACTTTAATGAAGGAAGCTTGGTATTAACTTGGCATAAACTTAAGAAACTATTCTCTTAAACCATTATCAGCTAAACAGCTCCTAGAGTTAAACTTGCTATGTTATGGCTGAGTGGCTTTGGTGGAAAGGCCAGAACCTTGGACACTCTATTGCTGTTTAAAGTTTGGAACTTGTTTTGATTTTTTTTAATGACTGGCTGAAACCTAGACAATTTAACCCTGGAAACTCCAACTATGGCAAGGTGGACTTTTTAACTGTACTTTGGGATTGAGTATATTTGGCCAATGTGGATTTTTTTGAACTGCTTCTGGGGGCTTGGAGTCTTTGTTTGGCTGGCGTAGATCTGCGGGAATCAGGTCACCAGGCCACGGATACAACCACTGAATTGGACTGTGACATTTGGAGGTTCTGAACCTTGGTTCAGACCTATCTGGCCAAAGTGGATCCTTTGAACTGCTACTGGGGGCTTGGAGTGTTTGTGTTTGTTTAGCTGGCATAGACCTGTGGAAATTAGGCCATCAGGCCACAGATACAACCATCAAATTGGACTGTGGCATTTGGGGTTTTTTAATTTTGACTCAGGTCTATTCCGCCTCTGGGGACTTGGAGTGTCTGTTTTAGCTGGTGTCAACCTGTGGGACCTAGGCCATCAGGCCACAGATATAACCATTGAATTGGCAGTTTTGAATCTTGGCTTAGGTTTATTTGACCAAGTGGATTTTTTGAACTGCTTCTGGGATCTTGGAGTATCTGTTTGGCTGGCATGACACAATCAGTGACTGAACTAGACTAATTTTGGTTTGAATAATACTCATTGAACCAGATAGAATTTTTTGTTATTTCTCTCTACTTTTCTTTCTTCTTCTTTTCATCTTTTGGAAATAAGATAAATAAGTTTATATTATATAAATGAAAGAAGGTATGGGGGCATGATGGTAATATCTATATGAATGCAACAAGAATAATTACTAAACAGGGAGAAAATTGGTTGGGTAAAGAAAATATTGGGTATTTGCCAGGTAATAACTCAGGATGAGCTTACCAAATATCTCCAAAACTTTAAAAAAAACCTTCTCTCCACCCCTGTCAGGGCCCCTTAGCCCTACATAATAAAGAAATATCGATACAACGTTACAGCAAGATAAATTTCAAAAAGATTTATAGACAACTCTTCAGATAATACAGGAAACAGTGTTATTCAATAAACAAGAGAGGAAAACAAGACAAGAGGAGATTAGAAGGAACCATGAAAAAATGGAAGGGAAA